AGTAATGGTAAAAAAGTTACATTTTATATGTGGGGCACCCACATCCCCCAAAATCCACCCCCCCCCCCCCCCCCCCCCCCCGCCATCCGAAGGCTGTCGGAGGCTCACACACCCCCCGGTTATTTTTAAAATGACCCAGATACTTCACAAAAACCGGCAGGAAAATGAGTGGAAACGAGAAATTCGATGAGACGAAGCAGCTCGGTCACGTCAGGATAAAAATGGACTCCTGCTTCAATCTCCATCTATTGGTTCAGTTTAAAGCAAATAGAACAGGCAAAGAGGTCAAAGGTCATATTTCTTACATCTAAAATATACATAATCAAAATTAAAGCTTTGTATTGAATATAGTAAAGAGGTTCATTGACTTCTATGTTTATTTGGTTAAGTTTTTTGCTTTTTCTCTAATTTTCAGTCCAGTTTTTGTGGCTGAAGTCTTTTTATTCTAATCCAATTAGTTCAAAATCTATTTTAGTGTCAGGACTCATCAAATGAAGTCAGATTTGTGAGTAACAGTTAAAGAGGAATGTGTTTTTCTTTGTTAAGCTGCTTAACTCTGAGGTTTGAATCGTTCAGGCAGAAAAAGGGCCCCTAACTCAAGGGATGAGCCACAGAACAGACAACTTGGCTAAGAAGCAGTTTAAACTGGATCTTTATGTAGGTTTACAGTAAAAAATCAAAACCAAAAAACCCACACTGTGAGGTTGGTTGTGTGTTTATTGTGATGAAACCGACATTTACAGAGTCAGCCGCTGACTCCTTAAAGCTGAGAGGAACCGACTTGCCTTTTTTCAGGCTGATTCAGAGCCCACTAAAAGCCCTGGACAGACCCGGGGATCAGCCCTTTCTGCTGACCGGCTCTGACTCCCTTCCCGTCAGCAGGAGCCGATAATCAGACCTCAGAGGCGATTAAACCGCCAGCAAAGTTAGAAAGAAGTCAGGTTTAAAGCGGCGGCCCTGACCGGTGAGGCGGGCTCTCTTTGTTTTCAGCGTGTCAGCTTGTTCCCAACACGGTGAGTAATGTCCTGCGTGTGCCCAGACGTCAGGCCGGCCGTTAATAAGCAGCTGCCGGGCCTCGTTTTGCAGACCGGTGGTTAAAAGCCCTCCAGTCTGCTGAGCACACAGAGCCCAGTTCACCTGGAGGAAAACCCCCATTTCAACCAGTCATCTGTCCACTTACAAGCCCAAATCCATCAAAAAAAGAAAAAAAATTACAAGAAGTCACTGTTATCAATGAATTAAGTACATAAGAGGTTGAATTTGAAACCCACTGGAAGCAGAAACGTTTGGTTTTGTTTGCTAAATATTCTCACATTTGGTTTTATATGATTCAAATGGAGAGTTTGAGTAAAGGAAGCTTTATATTTTAAGCTCTCTTATGCTCAAGTAGCTCCTGTCCATCAGGATTAAAGGATGCCGAGTGGCTAAAAAGAAAGAATGTACAAGAAGTCGCTATTAATAATGAATTAAATACATAAGATGTTGTATGGGCTGAATTTGAAACCTACTGGAAGCAGTAACATCTGGTTCTGTTCGCTAAATATTCTCATATATCTATTGCTAAATATATGGTTCAGATGGAGAGTTTGAATAAAGGCGGCTCGTTTTTTTAACCTTTCTTATGATCAAGCAGCTCTTTTCCATCAGGATTAAAGGATGCCGAGCGGCTGGAACTGGGTTCAGGACCTTTTTTTTATTTGGGAAACGTCTGTGTTGAATAAATGATCCACTGAACCCTCTGGAAGGATCGGTTCGGGTTAGAAAATGTCAGACGTCAGACTCCGTTTCTCTGTTTCCATGATGGGGGGGGGGCAAGGCGACATCCGCAGGCCGAGCGGCATCTGTGTCAGGGGGCGGGGCTTCCAGGCTGCCGCCTCACTGGACGGGGGGGGGGGGGGGCTGTTTTGATTACATCACCAATAGGATGATCCAAGGCTATTTTTTCAGTGATGTTTTTTTTTAAAACTTTGTTAACGTGACAGTAGCCACTAAAATAATTTCCCAAATACCAAAGTGTTGCAATTGACATGCTTTATGAACACAATCAGGGGCGACAATCAGACAGGCGACACACAGGGAAGAGCATGTGACCTGAAACCCGAGGGGATGTGTTTTTCAAAATAAAACAGGAAACGACCAGACCAAGACATGAAAAAACGCCAAAAATAAAAACCCAGGCGAGACATTGTCGGCCTGTCTGTCCTCCATCGGCTCACACGGACTCTGATTCCCCCCCCGTGAGGGCTTTTATCTCCACCTTTCGTGGAAAACCCGGTGTTCCAGCTCAGGTTTGGAAGCAGCGGTGAGAAAAAAAAGGCGGTCGGGGAAGAATCCCGCTTCTATTTCTGACTCCTTTAAAGTTTGATGCTGGTTGGAGGATCGGCCTGGGCTCTGAGAAGGTGGAAAGCAGGTCAACCTCTGCTTGTTTTCCAGCGTTTGCCTCTTCCTCCACCTGCTGGACCACTGGGGAGCCCTGGGGGGGGTCAGACGCCCCAATGGGAGCCCAGATCCTGCGTTTTTCCGGGTGGGAAAGGCCGGCGGCAGAGCGCCTTTGTTTCACACCTCTAAAGCCTCTTTAGTGGCGGAGCCTGCTGTTAACGGCCGATTTGTGGGATTAGTCAACGGTTTAGAGCCTTATCCCGGAGGGAGCGTGGGCCTGGAGAGCTGTGCGGGGATTAAAGCGAGCCGGACGGGGCGGTTTCAGGCTCGTCCAGAGCTGGTCAGCGATGCTGGGGGAGACTAAGCCAAGGCCACCCAGCTGTTAGCTTCCGCCTCTTTCTGCTTTTGACAGCACAAAATAAACCTGTTTGGCTCAGATTTGTGATTCCACACAGTTGTTCACCTCCAATTTTCTCATTTTTTGGGGTTGTTTTTAACTCATTGACTGGCAGCCATTTTTAGAACAGAGAGTCGCTCACTGCCAGAGTTTTTTGAGAATTTTGACTGATTTTTCAAGAGCCACAGAATAGTTTGTGCTATGACTATGTAAACACCGAACACACCAAAAGAAAGAGTAGACTCTCTTCTTTCATCAGGAAAAAAGATTTTGTTTCTACCTTATTCCGTTCTTCTTCGACGTGCGTCTCACCGGCGACATTTCTCTCATAGCGAACCATTGCGTTTGTTTTTATTTGCTTACAGTCTATGCTCATCTCCCATCAAAAGTGGCACAGCTACCTAGAGGGTAAATTTGTTAGTCCATACTCTGTCTAGAAGCCGATATTTACGGAAAAACTTTCGCCGATCGTCCCCCAAGCCACTCGCATTGAAAAACATTAAAGACGTCTATAGACGTCTTTGGCAGTCAGCGGTTGGATTTGAAAAGACGTCTATAGACGTCTTTGGCAGCCAATGAGTTAATAATTTAAAGGCCTTCAAATAGCAGGATGGTGAGCAGGAGGCGGTTTGAGGATCCAAATGGCCCCGGACAGAAGCAGAAAGGACTCCCTACATCCTGGTGGCTGTGTTCTGGTGTGTGGAGTGTCGGGGAAAGTGCAGCCGCTGGCCTCAGTAACTGAGTAACTGGGCTGTGAAATGAACCAGCCGGCCATCACTCGGTCAGACGAGCCTCAGTCTGAAGCCATGACTCCTGCCCGTCACTCCTCCCGTTCTGAGCAGGGACATGAGCCCCTTTAACGGAGTTACAGCCCCAAGATGGATGTCATTTTGCTTTTGGCACCCAGGTAACATCTTAGTCTGCTTTAGGCACTGCCTCTTGTCCAATAGGCAACCACTGGCCACTATCTAAGGCCTGTGAAGCTTCACTTTGTCTGCCACAAATGTGGCGTTTGTCGGGTTGTTTGGAGGATTTAATGGGCTGTTCATTTGCTGCCATGTAAACCTGTTCGGATTGGTGTTGTAGGGGAGAGCTGCCTTTTTGTTTAACCCCTTTTTCTCCT